GAAATAATAAACTGAAAAGAAAGAAAGAAAGAAAGAAAGAAAGAAAGAAAGAAAGAAAGAAAGAAAGAAAGAAAGAAAGAAAGGAAGGAAGGAAGGAAGGAAGGAAGGAAGGAAGGAAAGAAAGAAAGAAAGAAAGAAAGAAAGAAAGAAAGAAAGAAAGAAAGAAAAAGGAAGGAAGGAAGGAAGGAAAGAAAGCTATCACTGCTCTCAGCTGAAATGATTGCTTATGTAGAAAATTAAAAATAATCCATTAAATAAAAAATGATCCATTAAAACCATTCTGGAACTAAAAGGCAATTATAGTAATGTTGTAAAGTACAAAGTCAGTAAAACATACCAGCAATGAACAAGTAGAATTGAATCTAAAAACACCAAACCATGTCAACATCCAAAAAATTACAATACTTTCCATATAAATATAATGAAATATGTACAAGACCCATACAAACAAACCTACAAAACACTGATGAGAATTAAAGATCTAGGTAAATATATATTTCAGGAAGACATGGTATCATCAAGCTGTCATCTCTTCTCCTGTTCCTGCAGATTTAAAGCAATCTCAAAGTCCCATCAAGTTATTTTGTGAATATAAACAACTGATCCCAGAATTTATATGTGAGAAGCAAACACAATATTTAAGGGGAAAAAAAACGAAATTGCAAGGCAGACACCATTTTTAAGACTTATCTATTAAGTTACAGCAATCAAGACAGCATCATATTGATGAAAGAATAGACACATGGATGAAGGAAAGAGAATAGCAAGCCCAGAAATAGACTCATACAAAAATACAGTCAATTCATATTTAACAAAGAAGCACACAGAAACCTGCACTTTGATGTTCATTGCAGTTCACTTACAACTGCCACAACTTAAAAGTAAACAAGATGTCTATCGATACATGAGAAGATAAACTGTTGTAAACTCAGATGATGGAATATTACTGTACACTAAAAGGAACTGAGCTATTAAGCCACAGAAAAACACAGAAGAAATTTAAATGCATATTACTAAGGGAGAACTGTCAATCTGTAAAAGCTACCTGCCATATGAGTTCAATCATATTACATTTGGAAAAAAACAAAACAATAAAGATAGTAAAAAACTCAGTCATTGATAGATGTTGGGATAAGAAAAGGTATGAATACGCAAATCACAGGATATTTTAGGGCAGTGAAAATACTCTGATTGACACTGCAATGGCAGATACATGGTATTATATAGTTGTCTTGATCCATAGAAACTACAACACCAAGAATAACCATAACATAAATAGAGATTTTGGATGATTGCGATGTGTCAATGTAGGTTTATCAATTAAAACAATATTACCACTGTCATGGGAGATGTTTATGAGTGAGACAAGTCATGAAAGTGGAGAGACAAATGGAAAATCTATGTACCTTCTAATTTTGCTTTAAACTTAAAAATAAGAAGTCTTTAAGGAAATGGATTACAGCTGGGTTAAAGGTCTAACTGGTAAGACATAAAGCATGATAAAAATGTGTAAAAAGGAATAAAATCATGAAATATTATACAATAAAGGTTTGAAGGCTTTCTTAAGTAAGATTTAAAATCTCATCTATATAGAAACAAATTTTCAATCAAAAAATTCTGTGTTAACGAAGTTAGAAAATAAGCAACAGATTGGGTGAAAACATTTGCAATGCATATAGCAGCAGAGGGATTAGAAGTTAGAATAAATATGAAAAACTACAGATCAAACCCTCCGTGCAAATGATTGGAGCAAGAAACATGAACAGAGCTCAAAGTATACAGATGCTCAACTTTTGTAAGGAACTGTAACAAGATACAAATTTTTTAGTCATACCAGCAAAAAAAAAAAAAAAAAAAAAATTAGAAAATTTGATACTGTTCACTCTTGACAAGGCTGTGGAGAAATGGATGCTCATTTTTTAAAATGTAAATTATACAAAGCTTTTGAAAGATAATATGACAGCATCTATCGAAAGGTAAAATTCTTAAACCAGCAGTTAAATTTCTAGCTATCTTAATCAAAAGTGATATCAAAATATATAACAAAAAGTCATATGTAAGGATAGTCTAATGCAATATTGATCCTAATAGTAATGAAATAGATACGTACTAATTTTCCAATAATAAGAGCATTGATAAATAAACGGTGGTAGAACCCATACCCTGAATATTGCATGGTTAAAGCAAGGCAAAGAGAGATAAAAAATACCTCCCACACCTTCATCTCAGACTCCAGAATCCAGAGATAGGAGACAATTGACTTTTTGTTGTTTATATCATTTGGCCTATGAATTTTTTTACTGTAGCAAATTTATATGACTGTTACATAGAAATATAGTAAATGCAAAAGCACTAGTTCCCCTTATATTTTTACTCTGAAGAGTTAAACACAAGAAGTAAGCAAGTTAAAGAGCTTCTTTTCTTAACTGAAGTGATGACAGAGTGCGTCAAAACAAATCCATACTTGTAGATGACAACACTATGAAGTTATTGTCTCAATTTCTTTGGCATCCTCCTGGCACCCTCTCTGGGCCTTCTCTTCCCCTACCACTCACTGAACCTAGCCACTGTGGCTGCATCTGCGATCCTCTGATGCCACAGCCCTGCGAGCTGAGATGGAGACACAGATTTGACTAAGAATACAGAAAACTGATCACGTATTTCTGCTCCTTTCCTTTTTACTTCCATATGTAAGCAGCTTCTTCTTTACAAAAAAAAAAAAACTAGAAAGGAAAAACAACAGTGCAGAGGACAGATTACAAAATTTATATAGATCACAGGCAAGAAGGGCAATAGAAATAGTTCAGATTAAAGAGAAACCATGTTTTGGCACTCTGAAAGCCAACCCATGGAATCGCCCTCAGCAATCAGGTGACTAGGGTAAAATGAAATGGCAGTAGTATGCCTGGACTGAGAGAAGTCCTGAGGCAGTACTGTGCCTTCTCCAGACCCATGTGACAGTAAGGAATCCTGAATTATCCTCAGTCCCAAAGAGAACAGCAGAGGTAGCCGGAGAGTGAGTTCACCCAGCATTGCAGCCAGTGACAGGAGAAATGATCGCGAGAATGAGAGTGGCAGGGCCTCTGGTAAGCTGAGGCTAAATGGGAGTCACAGCCAAACTTCAGGGATACAGGCAGCAAAGCAGAGGGAGAGAAAGAGAAAGAAGAAATCAGCATGGGCAGCCCAACAATTTAGAGCCCACTGTGCTGTTGATCCTAAGACATTGGTGGCCAACACGTCAGCAATAGAGTCAGAGACACAAAGTGGCCCAAAGGACTTGGTGGTCTGCTGCCTCTTCAGACTTCCAGATATCTGATGCCCAACTACCACTGAGACAACTTGTAGTACTCCTCTTGCACCTACTTAGCATCTGGGGAAGGAAGAGAGAGGCACCTGGCAGCAGTACCACTTGTATGAAAAGAAGCATCCCTGTCAGAGAGTTTGAACTTAACAGATTGGCTGTTTATCTAAATGAGGCTGTTTTAGCCAGAAGAGATGCGATTATCTTTAATTGTCCAGTATACGTTTTTATCCCATTAACACAAAAGGGACTGCAGTTCAAGATAATATCAGGTGCAGAAAATTCACAAAGCTCCTTTCATCCTGCATGTGAGTTCTACTATATATTTCACTTCCTTCTTGCATTTTAGGATTTTCCTTAAATAAAGAAAGCATAAATGTGAAAGACTCTTTAGGGAAAATATTGAAAACTCATTTTTATAGAACAATGGATGCATGCAGCTCCCAGCAGCGTGCACACACACACACACACACACACACACACAGCACTTGTGTGCAATTGGCACAGCTACATAGTGGAGACTTCTATACCTGTGTGTGGAGTACAGTCCTGCAGTGCCATCCCCTGGCAAGGGACAGACATAGACCAAGGCATTGGACATTCGCATTCTAAACCAAGCACCTGAACTATAACTTGTAAATCAGCACTGACAGTTTGTTTCTCTTGGCTGCTTTATTAAGAAAAGTGTAGACCTATGTTTTTAGGACACAAAAAAGATTTTCACTTTCCCTAATTAAAATAACCATATATCTTCAATGCACTCTTCAATATTCAAGAGGAAGTGGGCATATTTCTTGATTTGCATACTCCTGATTTCCATCTGAGTATATCGTTATTGCTGTAAATAGTTGCAGATGCTTAAGTTGCTTTTATTCTTAATGTCTCCAGGCATTTTTTTAAGGAAAAGTGCACAAAGCTTTTAAAAATGCAATAAATTATATTGAAACTTAATTTATTTCATGTTATACCTTCTATTGAGGAAGGACACAAAGTATTCTTAAATTTCGATCATGCTTTTTTCCCAATTGAGTAAATATCTGACTTACTAAAATGGGCAAGACATACTATTTCAATGTTGTTTATCTGCCAACAATTCCTCATTAGTTAAAGAATTATATCTTGACTAAAATGGATAAGAAGCTTATAAACTGTCTTATTAATGTGCAAATAACAATAACTTGTAGGTATATATTATATTGAGCTCATGTTAACAGAAACGAAAATTTTTCTGAAATGATTTTATAAAAACATTGATTACCCACTCTGCTTTCTGGCCACACTACTGCAGTAGTCAACAGAAATTCCCTCAATTCAGTGATTATGTATAATGACATTTGGGAGGGATTAAATAAGTATTTTGTAAAAATCAACATGATGGAGTATAATTAAATACACACTACAGATTATAGAATAACAATTGCAAACAGTTTAAAGTTCAATTTTTTCACTTGCAATCTAAGTGAACCTGGTCTCGTTGAGTTTCCTCCATCTCATCTCAAAGTGCTGGAAATCAGACTTCTCATGTTACACATCTCAGTAAACACACGTGCACACACTCACAACACACACACACACAGCAGGGGGAGGGAAAGCAACTATTTTTCTTAATGAGAGAAATGTCCTCTAAAGAATAATGACATTTATTTAAGAATAATAGAGTACTACAGAGGGGTAACAGATCACTGAATTTGAAACATACCAGCATAGTAAACCACGGGTATATTAGGGCCAGGAATTTAGCTTAGCAGGTCAAATGCTTGCCTCGTAACCACAAGATCAGGATTTCAATATCTGGAACCACACAAAAAAGAAAGAAAGAAACTATGAGCATATTGAAAGTGGTTAAGACCAGAGGAAATTTTTAAAGAAAAAAATGAGAATTACATCAATACGTTGAAACAATAATCCTTGGCCACAATGATTAATAATAAGCAGAGCAGCAATAAGATATTGAACAGACTGTTGCCAGGCAGATGTCCTTGTAGAAGCACTTCTTGTGCAAGGTTGTAGTGGCCTTGACCAAGTTTGTAGTCTGCAGTCTTGTAATTGTTCCTTATCAGGTAGTTGTGTCTAAGACTTCCCAGTCTCCTGGCTTTATTTACTTTTTCTTGTTAGGATTTATACAACCAACTCCATTCTGACTCTGACAACTTACACATTACTTTCACAGTTCCAAACATAAATAATGTCACTTTATTTGCAGTGTCTACATGGAAAGAAAAAAGGGAGTTCCAAAGCATCCTGCCTATCAAAACATCAGATATGCTCTTTTTAAAACTGTTCATATTTACCCCCAAATCCCTGTCTCACTTCAGGTGCTGAAAATGTTCCCCTGTGCAGCCTCCTCTCTGCTCTCAGACAACTTGCACCTCTCAAGCCACTTTTCTTAAATTGAGCAACCCCATCCTCAGCTTGCCAGTGTTTCACTGATCACCCACCTCAGCAAGATGAAGGTCTCTTCTTAGAACCTAAACACATTAGTATTCAAGAGATTTTGAATGACAAATAGTTTGTTACTGGTACAGAAGTTTAAACCTTATTCATCATCAAATCTGCATACAATTTCACTTATTCATTTATAGAATATTGCAGTCTGGTCCTGGAATTGGCACCCAGCCCCTAATGGGAAGAATCAGAGAAGCCAAGGAAATGACTCGACACTATTCTAGTTTGGCCCTACGTTTGGTTAATCATCTAACTTTTTTTTCATCTGCAGATCTTCTTGGTATCCGACACTGATGAAATAGCCTACACATATCTGTATCTTTATATCACTTTTTAACTCACAAGTGATTTTTAGTCTCCATCACAAATGCTACAATTCATAATTTCAGTGCTGTCTACCCAAAATGCATTTCTGTAGCAAATGTTTTCTTCCAAACACCAGGAAAATCCTGGATACAAGTGTATATTACTTGAGAATGTTTTTTCAGAGCTCTGCATAATCTCAACTGTGTGTTTTTCTTTTTGGCTTTATTACACATTGAGATTATACAGTAGAAAGATTTTTATCCCACTCTGGTAGAATTTTCAGATTGCATTCACACACAAAAATGTTAATCTACTTTATCCATTAAGATATCTATGAAATATTCTATCTATTGACAGTAAATAATCCCTGAAAATAATCACTTAAGGGCTTTCTCTTTAGCTATTTGATTTATTACTTCCTGGGATAGGAGGTCATGGAGGTAATGAATTTTCCTGAGCGTTCTCCTAGTCAATTATCCCAATTATTCAAAGTTGTCTCAATTTGGCACAAAGCAAAAATATACAAAGGGGAACTTAAACTGTGCGGAAGAATATTGAAATTTATCATGCCACATATAAAATCATAGATAGCATTGCTAGGTTTATTATTTTTAACTCATTTTTCCTAAAACCACTGGGCAATGTTGATAGAATGTTTTAGTATTTCTCTAGAAAAAAATTGACCATTTAAAAAGCCTTCTTATAATTCTCCAAGTTATTGACTTATGCAAGGATTCACATGTATTGGCCCTGAGGATTCTAGAACCATATTCATAGAATACTCTGCAAAGCTAAATATTCTATATTGTAAGATCTAAAAAAAAAAAAAACAAAACAAAAACAGGCTGACAATCAGAGGTCCATTTGGATTTGAATCACTTAAGATCTGCCCTGAAGACAGATCTTACATCTCTGAAATACTTACATCTCTGAAAACTCACAATTTTTCCTCACTACCAAATAGTCCATTAAATTTCTGGTCATTCAATATTTAGGACTTTTTTTTTAAATAAAGCACTTTAAATTTTGGGTGATTTTTAGAATATTTCTAAGTCTCTTCATGCTGCTAAAACATAATAGTAATTTATAAATAGTAAAAATATATTATTTACAGTTCTGGAGGCTGGAAGCCCAAGAGCAAGATGCCAACAGGTTTCTGCCCAGCGTGGCTGCTCTCCTTTCTAATGTCCACAGGGCAGAAAGGTCAAGAAGGACAAACACTGATTCCTTGAGAAGAGATGAAAAGATTATGTGGCTTTCTGAAGCCTTTTTTTTTTAAGCTTTAACCTTGTTTGAGGGCATTAATCATGGTCGTAGACCTCCCATAGACCCCACATCTTAACTTTGTCACCTTAGAAATTAAGTTCCAACATATGAATTTTAGAGGGACACATACATTCAAAACGTAGCAATGTCAAGTTAGTTTTTTTAATGTTCATGGTTTCAAAATGCCTTTCAACTATTTCATTTATTCATTTGGTTCAAACAGAAGATGTTTCAGACATACAAATTTTCAATAGTTCCTGACTCTGTGACCTTCAGCTTTTAAATTACTAAGCTGCAGAGCTTTCCTTAGGTAGTGCGATTCTAATTTTACCTTCTTTGGCCCAGAATAAAGTACTAAAGTACTAAATGATCATTCAATTTACATGGATACAAATATGTAATTAAGCATAATACTCTCACATAAAATGCATGGCTTGTGGTGAAGCTTGGGGCTGATTTTCAACATGAATAAAGTTCTTTGACCCAAATTCCTTTTGTTAATATCAATGTCAGTTTTGACTCTAGAAGAGTCATTAAAATGTACAGTATCCGCTAGTCCTGTTGGGCAGATGCGTCAGAATACAAGGAATACATTCTACTCATCTGCCTAGTATCTCTTTTCCTCAGAAGAGGGCAAATTTATGAATAAAAAATTTCTTAAATCTTCCCTTCTTAGGAAGCTAACATACTTAGCCCAAAGAGGAATAAGGATTATTTCATGCAGATTTTTATATATTCCAGTTCTACAATGATACTGAATCCATTTGCAACGTGAAGAAATCATTTGCTTATAGTTTTCAACTTCAGAATAATCTGAAACTATGCACCCAAGGATGAGTCCTTAACAATGTGATATTTATATGGCCCACATCAATTTCAGAGGAGTAAAAGGACACAGCACTCAGAATTTTTAACCCAGAGTCTGGAGCATTTAATATATAGTATTAAGGAATTTAAGGGGCTGGGGATTTAGCTCAGCGGCATATGCACCTGCCTTGCAAGAACACAGTCATGAGTTCAATCCCTGATAACAAAAAAAAAAAAAAAAAGACTTTAATACATAATAAGAACTCAAGCATTATATGGTAGGAAATCTTAGCACTTTGACAAAATACTTTATGCCAATTCATCTTTTTTCAACAAACAAAAATTTATTGTATATACAGTTGGATTTCTAAGTGGGTGTTAATGTGTTTTGTTTTTTTGGCTGGTATGAAAAACATCTGATGCTTTTAAAGTATAACTAAAAGTCCACAAATGGAAAAGTACTAGTTTTCCAAGGGAATAGTTTTAAACATGTTAGTAATTTCAGATTTTTTTTATATAATCTGTCAACAATTATTTAACTAAATCATTTGAAAAAATTTAAAAATAAATAAATGAGTCATCAGAAAACTTATTGCCTTATTTATGGTTATTTTCTCTCAATTTATATTTTTATATATTTACCTTGCATGATTTTAAAAAACCATACAATGCAAAAAAAAAAAAAAAAACTAAAATGCAAAACCAAATAATATACTCTTGGGAAGGCAATCAATGTAGCTTGTTTTCTATTTACACAATAAATTCCCAATTAAAAACTATTGTCTAAATATTTAATTGCATTTTGTGAGATAAAAGAAGTGCTTAATTTAATAAGGTTTTTCTTATTCATTAAGGTGATGTCTTCATTTATCTTTATATGTTAATTAAACTAGAATATTCTTCATGCAGCAAAACATTGCAACTAGTATTTTTCTATGATATCACTGAAATGAGCTCTTTTGTCAATTTATTTGGAAAAACTGTCAACACAGACTTTCTCATATGAACAAATGTTTGCTTCCTTATGTCATTTGTGACTGAAGATTTAAAACCACGCTTATAAAGTCCACAGCCACAAGCCCATGTCAGCAAGCAGATTCTAGAACACATACAGCTATGCTTCTAGACATCCAAAGAGCCTCCTGATTGCATCTGACAAGATGCAACAGAAATTCACGATCTAGTCCCCACATGACATTTCAGTTATGTCCCCTATCTAAGAAAAAAAAAAGAAGTAACATAATTATTTCTAAGGCAAAAATTTCTCATAAACTTCTCAAACTTAAAATTATGTGTTCATTGAATAATGCTAAAGTTCATAATACAACTATCCAAATTAACATCAATCATTTATCAAAAAATGTTAATTTGTATCATATGTAATCTAAACAATGCTATTTTGATTCAAATGTCTAGGAGTAGCTTTGAGAACAAAATTAGTTTAAAAAAAGAAAAAAGACAGGAGGTAAAATTAAAAGTAATAACACTGATCTTCTTATCAATCTGTTCTAAAATACAATTATAAAAATGACCTATAGTAAATCTATAAAAACAGTGCAATCTCTGTGCAAAACATTCCGTTGTCTTCCAAACTCTGTTTAAACAAAGGTATCTTTACTAAGTTCAGAGGTTTTAGATTTGGTCAGAATTAAGCTCACCAAAGAATTATCTATTCAATTGCATTGTGCTTTGCAATGCACCAAAGTAATCCATATTGAGAAATTCAATTATAAATCAGGATGGGATACCAAAAAATTGAAATAACTCAAATATATCAACTTTCCATAAAATATCCATTAAGAACATACTGTATGCCTAGCAAGACGTTTGATCTTGTGTTTCTTAAAATACACTGTGAAAGCAAACTGTTTCATTAAATTCAAAATGACAAATTTGAGCCCTGTAGTTTATAGAGATGTATCCATCTAACTAAGTAAATATTAAAGTCTTCACAAAGACTTTAAATA